CGTTTAGGACACCTTGTGTTGTAAAACTAAAGTAACTGCATGAAAAGAAGTTGTGGAACTGGCTGATAGAGGGCATTTTTGGATACTGAAAATAAAAGCAGCTTCATAACAGGGTTCAACAGATCACTCTCCCATCAAGAAGAACCAAAGATCAAGGAATAATTTCCACTTCACAAAGTCTCCAATTAATAGAGCATTCGGAGCTGGGAAAACATATCAGACCATATTTACCTTATACCTGCCCTAAGTACTTGCTATGGGTCTTCTCTGAAGAGCGAATTTGGGGTGAGGGGATCTGGAGAATGGTTGCACTGGATCCAGCGTAAAATATATTTATCTGTTAACACTGAGAAAAGCCAGGACATGGCTCAGGTTCTTCCCTTTGCCACCTGTTTCACTCCAGCCATCAGAACACAACCTCTATGCGATGTAACTGCCAAATACCTTATGAAACCCTGATGGCAGCCCTTTTCCGTGCTCCCTGGCCATTTCACGCAGCACCATGGCGAGACTGCGAACGCATTCAGGAGAACGACATTGAGACTGTGCTGCCTCTCCTACCACAAGTGGTGCAGGACGATTCCTGTCTTCCTGAATAATTCTAGTTCCTTCCATAACGCTTAGGGGCTCGAAAGGCGATACAAGATTTAGGCACTTGTTTGCTGTATCTCAGTTTCAGTGCATGTGCGCATTTCCCCTACAGCCGAGAGCACTTCACACCTAACAGAAGTTCCACAGAAGTCTAACACTGTCTGCCTTGCTTTATCACCTGTGCTCACTCTTAAATACTTGCTTGCACCGAAAGCTTTCCTTGTAACGTCGTACTCAAAGAGCCCTTCTTGTACCAATGACTTCACTTTCTATTTGCAATAAAAGAACAAAACCACAAGCCGAGTGTATCACCACTGTAAGCAAGTTAGCCACAGCCTTCTCAGTTAGCTGGTTACATAATTAGTCTCAGCTGTCTTAAATGAAATGTATCACTAGCTGCTTAACAGATGACACAGAATATTAAAAGGGTGTTTGCAAAAATTCCTGAAGTTAAATGACCAAGAATACTTCCGTGAAGGTTTTCTTTGCTTTCTATTTAAACGTCTATGATTCCTAAACAGAATTGATCCATTTTGTTTGCAACTACTTTATGTCAGCCCTTTAGATCAACATGAGCAACTACAGCTACTTCTGATCGTTCATTTCAGACCTTTGTTTATGATAGCAAGGACAGCCGGCGCTGCTTCTGAAATTCTACATCTTACTACTGCAGGCAGTCTTCCACCAGTTCTGCTTTGTTCCAGCTGCAGCACCTGGTTCACCTTCAGCCCTTGGTTCTGTACCAGGGCTCATTTGTGTCCTATGACAAGTGTAAGGTAGAAATGCTGTCTGAAATGGGAGTCCATCTTCTCCTTTAAAACTGCCAATTTAAATCAAGAAATTGGAAGAAGGAATTTGTTCATATAGGGCAGGGGGGAGGGGAAGGCAGGGGCTGCTTAGGCATAGATGTACCCCTTGGAACCCAAGCTGATACCTGAGTTGGGGACATCACTGTGGTTACTATTTCTGGTTGGCATACTAATTTTATGAAACAAAGCAGTTTTGGGTCAGTGTTGCAAGGAAACAGAGAAGGTTTCTTGATGCTAAGAATAAAGCAAAGGATGAATATAGTTACTGAAAGGCTAAAATGCTTAGTTTTTTAAATCTAAACAACGTGTAATTAGAAACTGTTATTTGCTAATTTTTTTTTCCTGTGTTTGGAGACACCCAAATGCAAGTTTGTTATGGCCAGCTCTGTACAGTGGCAGAAAAAAATGCTACTTTAAGGGACAGATCTCTGAACAACTGTAAACATCTGCTTTGAGCTTGACAGCTATATCTACATCTACATGTAATCAATCACATTCTTACGCTAGAATTTAAACTGTTCAGACAGATTTTGATTCTTTGTAAATTCAGAAGCTGCTCTTGAGGAGCACGGAGAAGCTATGTGTTCACTAGCCAAATTCTGCAGTCCAGCAGGTTTACCTCACTTTTTTTTTAGCATTATTGCAGGTTTCCGGAGCCCAGTACGGATCTCCACAGATACGTTCTGTTACACACCCTTCGAGACTGGAGCTCTTTGAAAAGGCTGTAACAGTCTCTACTTATTCCCCTTCCTACCTTTAGTACCATGCAGTATTTCTTGCTGCAGTGTGTAACTAGTTGTTACACCTGCCTACTCTTAAAAGAAGCAAAAGCTGTCAGATTCTTACTGTGACACAAAGTGTCACCTCTAGTACCATCTACGTTTTACTTTTTATGCTAAGAGGTAAAAAAAAGTCTGCTTACTAAATTTATTTCTACAGCGGCTAATGTAGTGAAATTAACTGTTTAAATAAAATATCACTGTCACAGGTTCACTGTATCATTATGCATTAGGGAGCTGTCTGCTGCTGCAGGGTTTGTTCCAGCACAAACTCAGCTTGCCAAAAACTCCCACTGTTAACAGAGCTTGTGCTTTATTACCGTCTGAGAGAGGGTAATGTAAAAATAAGGGAGCTTTCCATACAGTACAAATATGAGAAGGGTTGGGAAAAAAATGGAAGTTTTAACAATCACTAAGAATTTATATTAAAAATAATAAAGTAAACCCAGTTTTAACAATCACTAAGAATTTATATTAAAAATAATAAAACCAACACAAAACCCACCCACTCAATAACTTACCTCCATACTCCAGTGAAAGCTTTCAGCCCTTCTTTTGAAGTCATTCTTTTCTCAAAGGCAGCAGTGCCTGAACTGAAGATAAGAGATGCTTCCATAACTCCTATACCCTCCTATTTTTATTTATGTTTTTAAGAATTGCGTGTTTCGATTTTAAGGCCTTTTGGACCTGCATATTATCTTTTAAAAAAATTCTAATGAAATTATTAATTCTTAGCCAAGCTGATACTGAAACAGTGTGTTCTTAAGAACTAAGTCCTTCACGAAAAAAGGAACTTGCAGGTACAAATAGAGTAGACCAACTGATATAATTTTACTTTTAAACATAGTGACTAGTTCTCACGCTCTCAGGAAAAGTTCTAACAAAAAAGCAGGACTATACAATTAAGTATCCATATGAATAAGATGCAAATTGGGGGCTACAAAATGCCATCACTTCAACTCTCCCCATGAGAGTTACAGAGGCGCTGGGGTACAGGCTGCCTTCAGGGGAGCCCAGCTGCTTGCTCCCAGAGAACGGGGGGTTTCAGGTAAGCTTGTTCACCGCCAGCACTCCCGTGCTGTGATGTGGCTCCACGATGCATTAAGCCAAAGGCTGTATTTACATCCAAGCCTTGAGTGAAATTCTTCATCTTCTACCTCCCTCTCTACTGGTCTGGAGTGATTAAACATCTCCTTTGCAAAAGTCAAGGTTATATTCACAGTTAAAATGTAGGGGGAAAATGGAGATAATAATTAACCAGTACATGTTTCTCAATAAGCTGCTTCAAACTCACCTAGTTCGAGCTATACATAAACTAGAACAAATCATTTTATTACTGCAGAAAAAAAACATGTGCTGTTCCCATTTAACCCTAGAAGAACAAAGAAATGCTGACTGTTGATAGAATTAAAAGTTACCTTTTAAAATACTGGAAACAAAATGCAGTATTAGTTTTTCCCAAGTACACTGTATAATAATTTACTTCTATAGAACTGGTGTAAACATAACTGATGGAATAACAACAGAAATACCTGACACTATAAAATGTTTAGAGACATATCATGTGGAAACCAAAGCTACCAAAGCAACAAATTTTCTTGAGGTTGAATAGCTTGAGTGAAATGAAAAGAACCAGAATCCAAGCTCAAGTCCAAGGAGCTAAACGGAAACCCAATCTTTTCACATAGCATGTTCTGTGGTATATTTATGATGACAACTGTATCAATTAATTTTGATTCAATGTTGTCTTAAATCCATCTGAAAATAAAAGGCAGTGTTGACTACCACTACAAAATTGCAAATAAAATGTTTAATTTCAGAAACTGAGTTCACCATTTATAAATACACTAAAACATAGTAAATGCAAAATTAGATTAGGCATAGGTACAGTATTTTAACAAAGCTACAACTTTTCTAAAAGGTCATAGGCAAATGATGACTTGTTTCCCAAAAAGTATTCAATGAAATCTGAAATTAGAATCTTTCTACAGTTAAAAAACCAGGGAGAACGTTCCTTTCAAATTAAAATGCTGGCTACTTTTTTCCATCTTATTTGAAGTTTCGAGGGCTCTATATCCCATTTGCCTGAGGGACACCAACAGTTAAGAATCAACCCTACTACATAAAATTCTAAGCAGTGCACCATATCCATAAGGCTATTATTGAAAATCAGAAGATCAGTTATTTCTGTACTAGGAGCTTTAAGACAGGCTGTTCTACACAACTGAAATTACGTTAGGAGTAAGGGCTCAATTTTTACAATAGGGAACCTTATAGTTTCAATGCACTAAAGATTAGAAAAGGCTTTAGGTTGACATTGGAGTCTTCATGGTAAATTTCTTGCCTTTTTTGTACATGGCATTAAATAACAAGCATTAATTCACAACCTTTGATAAGACTTCCAATGAGCTTTTATAAATATCCAGAATATTTCTGTAGTTCAGTTAAAATGTAAAACCTGAACAGGAGAACCCAGAATGGGAAGTTTTACTACCGATTGCTGTATGACTGACATTCCATATCATCTCAAAATTAAGATTTATTTTCAGATACTAAGTCAACAGTCTGCTGTAAACACATCTTCCTCAATAACTCTTCTTAATCCTTTAAGTACTTTAGGGCTTGTAGTTAAAAACACTACATGATAAAAAGACATCTTGAACCCCATCTTTCATGTACAGCTTTCTTTCAACAACTACAAAAGCTGTTTTGTTGCAATTAAAGCAATGTTCAACTAAAATACAGTACCTGGTTTATGGTTTTTACATAATAATTGAATAAAAAACTACAGAATAGAACTGTTTACATCTTTTTTTTTTTTGCCATTCTATTAAAACAAATGACTGAGCTTTTTTAAAGTCCATTTACAATTATGGATTAAAACCTACATAATTTTGTATAATTTGACAAGACAGGCTATCTCTAGTGTGAACTTTTAAAAAACATATATACAGTATCTGGCCTGAAGTACTATGAATAAGGCACATGTAGACATATTGAAAGCTGAAAAAAATGAAACTAAAATTTGGAATTATAGTCACTGATTAGATGTCATACATGGCCCCTACTGGAGCAATTTAATAATCCGAGTTATAGATAGTTAATATCCAGTGAGCAACAATAGATTTAGTCTAGCAGTTTGTTCATTAGTTTCAATACTGGAAGTATATTAAAGGAAGATTCACTTTCAAAAAGATAAGCTTTTCAAAGTGTTCAATCATTAACCTTGACTGACTAAAGTTGTTGCTTTCATTGGATGTACTGAACAGTCTCTCTGAAGGAACAATGCTTGGTGGACAACCCAAGAACCTGACAGCCAATTTTGACAGTACTGGCCAAGATGACTTCTTAAAGTTCCAGTAAGTTAAAGGATCACAGTTATGCTCAAGCACTTCTTCCTCCAAGTAAGAAAGCACCATTTCCTCTGGTAACTTTGCTCTCTCTTTCAGGTCTTTCGTTTTCTTCATGTCACCCATGAGTGACCAAAGATTATCTTCCCCATATGAGTTTGTAGATGGTGAACCTATATCACATCCATTGGAAACAGGTTTATCATCATCTGAGGTAGAACTCATTATTTCCAGCTCCCTGATTAAGTCTTGTTTATATTGTTCAGCCTCCTCTTCTGTAAATAAGGATGTTTTATACCGGGGATCCAGAAGCGTAGCAAAAATGTACCTTGGATCATGAAGAGTGGAGGACAATCTACTCACCATAGCTTCTTTCAAAGATTTCAGCATAGTATCTATGCCCATTGTTTCCTCAAATAGCATTTCTATTTTCCTGTTAAGTATATGAATCATTGGAATCACTTGGCTTAGAGTGGACATGTGTGTACTCATCTCCCTGCTTGCAGCTTCAAAAGGTTTGAGCGCATGACACACCGACTGCATGACTTCCCACTGATCACAGCTTATTAGCTCCCGAAAGCTGCACTCTATTGACATTTCGTCAATTGCTCTTTTCTGTTCGATAAGACGTTCAAGCATATGAAATGATGTATTCCACTTGGATGGAACATCTTGTATTAGCTGATGCTGAGGCAACTCATACTCTTTTTGCAACTCAGCTAACTTCTCTTTTGCTTTTGCTGACCGATGGACACGTTCACAGATCTTTCTTGCAATACTAAGCAAATTCTGAACCATTCTCTGGCTTTTAATAGCCTCGTTTACAATGACATTAACAGTGTGACTAAAACATTGTACACTTGAATGATCACCTTCATTTAAAGTTTTTTCTATACTCTGATTATCAGTAACAGTAATCCCGATCTGAAGGCCAATGGAAGTAATCCATGTTTCCCACCAGTACTCTAGCTGCTTTTGAATGCTGATTCCATTGTAGTCGCAGTCGATCTGTGATACGTTTAATAGAGCTGAACAGTGGTAATCCTCACACTGCGGTCGAAACGAAGACTCAAATGTTACCCAGTGAGCTGTCAGGGTTAGATATTCTCGTGTCTGGTTGCTCATCCATATTCCGGATGTAAAATGGATCACTCCACTTTCAGCTTCTTTAAGATGTGAAATAATTATTTGTTTTACATTATCATACATATCTGGAATTGCTGTCCTAGAAAAGTAAGACGGAGAAGGTAAAGAATACTGAGGTTGCAAGTATTCAAGCAGCCTATTAAAGCCAACGTTGTCTACAAAAGAATATGGCTGAAGGTCAAGTGCAATCATTTCGGCTACAAGACTTGTGATTTTTTTGGCAACTGGGTGAGAGTCACAAAACTTGTCATTGGTTTCATCAAAATTTGAAGATCCTAGTAATTCTGTGCTCAGTGGCATACGATTATCCGTAGATGAGGATAAAACTGTCTCTGAGACCTCAGGTTTCAATACATTATTATGAAACCGCTGCAAATGTCTTAGAAGGCAACTTGTGCCCAGATTTGTTGGCTTTTTCCCCCTACTTATTGTACGTCCACAATGCATGCATATTACTTTTGTTGAATCTGCAGAACAAATTGAAAAGTGATTCCACAGTTTTGAGGTCTTCTTACTATTAACAGGAAATATAATTTGATTATCATGTGTCACCATTGTAGGCAAATCAGTCAACTTTGAGGATGAACATTCTGCAGAAGCCAAAGTGGCGTAAGGAGAATTTGCCAAACTCACATCAAGAAAGCTCTTTTGGTTTCCAATTACATCGGGATGGCGTCTATATAGATGTCTCATCAAGCAGCTTGTGCCCACATCTCCTTTTTTACCACGACTTATCACACAACTGCAGTATCTACACACTGCTTTTAGACTGTCTGCAGGTGACAGTGAGAAGTGATGCCACACTTCCGATTTAAGCCTTTTCATAATCCTTTTGTTTTGCTGAAATACAGCGGCAGGTTCAAATATCAGTGGACCTAATCCCTCACACTGCTTCTCAGGAGAGGAAACAAAGGAGACTTCACCTATGTCATCAGAAGATGACAGCATTGAGTCTTCCACTAGAGCATCTCCGGAAGCGAGATTAGTATGGATCTCCTCAGAGATTCTGTCTGGAGAAGAAGAAACAGAAGTTGATTCTTTCATTAGTTTCCCAGGAGAGGACGACATAGAATTCAGATCACTATCTGAGGGTAGTAAAGAAGGCAACAGTGTTGGAGGTGCGGTGTAGAGAGGTGGTATGCTGGTACCACCCCCATTCTCTTGCAGGACAATGGAACGATGGGCTCTCCACATGTGTCTTATTAAACAACTCGTTCCTAGGTCTTTCCCGTTTTTTCCTCTACTGAATTCATTCATGCAGTGGATGCAAACAGCTTTAGAATTATCTAAAGGTGACAAATAAAAGTGTTTCCAGACAGCAGATCTCCTTCTGGAACCTGATGTGCTCTTTGGAATTACAACAGTTTTTTCTGCTACATTCTCCACAGCATCGTCATACTGGTTGTTGGGTAGCTGTGGAGATGACCCAACCATGACTTCTTCTTTGCTGCACTTTTCAGAAACTGAGAGATCTGGTATTTCTTCAGATGAAACAATAGAAACAGATTCCTCAATTATTTGATCTGGAGACGGTATTTTAGAAGCTATTTTCTTAACCAGTTTTATAGGGGATAGCATAGAACTCAGATCTCCAACATCCGCGGACTGAGGTGGCAGTAACAATGTCGGTGAAGAAAAGGAGGATATACCTGGCATACTTCCATTTTCTTGAATTAGTACAGTGGGATGGGCTCTCCTCACATGTCTCATGAGACAACTTGTACTCAGGTCCTTTTCATTTTTACCCCTGCTAAATTCTTTCATACAGTACATACATATTGCTTTAGTGCTATCTCTAGGAGATATAAAAAAATGGTTCCAAGCAGGTGACTTTTTTCTGGAGCTTATGTTTCTGCTAGAAAGGAGGCTTTGTGTCACAGCTTCCATTGCTACATCATACAGCGTACTACTATACTGAGAAAAAAGAGATCCATAATCATCTTCATTTTCTGTAGATAAATATGTGCCAGGGTTGTTGGTAATGAAGTTCTTTTCTTTGTCTTCTTGTTCATCACTGCTGTCCACATGCTTGAAATCATCTTGTTCTGTCTTGATATCCATTCTTTCTAGAGTACAGTTAATGCTGTCTTCCTCTTGCTCTACTTTCAAGTTACTGATTTTACCCAATACAAAATTACCATCCATTCTGGGGGAACCTGCTCCACTCTTGTCCATGGATGACAAATTCTTCTTGCCAAGTCTTCATTTATTAATAAATATAGATAATTTAAAATTTTATTAAGATGATGTATCTTGTATACTGAATGCACAAACCCAAGTGTGCATATGTGTTAAAATAATCTCTGGTGTATGAATTCTGTATCCGTGTTGTGCATAAGCAAATATGATTAGTCAGAAAAATGCATTTAAAAATTATAGATTTAATTAATGGAATCTCATTTCTTCCCCAGGATCAGGACATTTCAGGTCATAGATTAATGTTCTCAAAGACAGCTACTGTTAAATGCTTCATGTTGTAGACATAATCCTAAAAAACGAATGTTCTATTTTCTTGTTGAAGGAAGCCATTCTGTTCATCTTGACTGGGCAACTGCAATTCTTTTGCACCATCTAGAAATAAAAAAATCAGAAGACAAAGTTGACTAACATACTCTAAATAACTATTGTAAAGGTGAACTGAACACATGCATTAAATGTTCTGTGGTTTTTTTTTTTCTTTGAGATAAACACAACTCAATGTACTATTGAAAAAAAGAAAAAACAAAATTTACTCAATACATTGACTGTGGGCAAATACATGTCTACACACGCAGCTCTGGTTCAGCTTAGACAAAATCTAGAGTCCAAGCATCACTTTTGTATTTGCTTGGACACACCTATGCCTCATCCTACATCCTAATTCAACCCCTGCATAATCATACAGACACACATACGTATACAAACATATATATACAAACACATACTATACAGGTGTCTGTATCTACAGATACATATGAATACAAGCAGGCATTTAGTTATGTTAGCATAGAAATATGTACTTAAAACCAAATGTTAAGTTATACTCCTGTACATGTGAGTCCTTCACTACTGACAGCAGTGTCTAAAACTACAATATTTCACATGAAACATCTTTAAGGGTGTCCAGCGTTCAGTCGCACTAACCTCTCTCTGTTCCTCTGACCACAGTCTCACATGGTTCTTTTCACGCCATAACACTCCCAGACAACACCATACTACAGAAACAAGCTACTTTTAGAGTTTCACAATTACAAATGGAAATGCTTAATTTAGGATAACTGGGCTATGCAAATGGCATATATACATTGAGGTCTCCCAAAAGCGTAACATCACTCGGAAGCGAAGATACACACAGTTACGAACACTGGTGCATAGTGCAGCACTGCCTGCTCTTCAGGTACCGAAGGGTTATACTAGAAAGCCCATTTACACCAAGACAGCTCACTTCCCACATGAGCAAAGACTTCCCCACCAACAATTCCAGTACAAAGAGTAGGGGTTTTGAAGCACAGCTGCATATAAATCACAGGGCAACAACAGGCTTAAAACCCAGACCCCTCCCGCTGGCCCCACACAAACGAGAAGAAGCTGTCTGCATTTCTCAGCCACTTTTTTTTTCCTTCTTACTACAGTTCTATCAGAAATCTGAATTTTGCCAAATCCCTTCTCATTTATTCTCTTGTGTCATTAATGTAGTTATTGGTACCATCATTCAAGGTAACAAACATTTTTTGACCACACAGCTGATGCCACAACACGCACTCCAATTTGTGCAAACTGGATTTTATGTGACTCTTTCTCCCCAGCTGAAGACAAAACACAAATCTGAATCAGTTATTTTAAAAACTTCTCACACAATTTTCTCAAACACATGGAGGATTTCAGCAGACAAAAGGTGAAATCAGCCACAGCTACAAGACACATTAAAAAAGTCTAGGTTGTACTCACACACACATTTCCCCCCTGTATCAAAACCAATGTCATATTAGCTTTGTATTCTATTTTAATTAATATTTCCCTGAGGTCTGTTTACAAGAGAGATCAGAAACACTAATTTTCTATGGATTTCAGACCTCTGGAAAGCCTACTGTAGCGATAACTTACTTTCTTTTCCAGTGCATCTTTGAGAGGTCCTGGAGGACAGGAGAGGTGCCCGAGGACTGGAGAAAGGCCAATGTCACTCCAATCTTCAAAAAGGGCAAAAAAGAAGACCCAGGGAACTAAAGGCCGGTCAGCCTCACCTCCATCCCGGGAAAGATGATGGAGCAGCTTATCCTGGAGGTCATCATCAAGCAAGTGGAAGAAAAGAAGGTTATCAGGAGTAGTCAGCATGGATTCACCAAGGGGAAATCATGCCTGACCAATCTGATAGCTTTCTACGATGGCATGACTGGCTGGGTAGATGAGGGGAGAGCCGTGGATGTTGTCCACCTCGACTTCAGCAAGGCTTTCGACACAGTCTCCCATAACATCCTCCTAGGGAAGCTGAGGAAGTGTGGGCTGGATCAATGATCAGTGAGGAGGATTGAGAACTGGCTGAACGGCAGAACTCAGAGGGTTGTCATCAGCGGCGCTGAGTCTAGATGGAGGCCTGTAACTAGTGGTGTCCCTCAGGGGTCAGTACTGGGCCCAGTCTTGTT